TATTCGGCTCCAACAAGTACCGGAGGCCGGGAGAAAGGGAGTAGAGGCCGGCAAAGGAAATAAGATCAACTGCTATTAGTGGGCGGAGCATGCACATAATTGGGCGGAGTTTGCCAAAAATGTCGTAATTTGGTTCCAAGAGGTCCCAGAGACCGGTGAGAAAAAGGGGTAGAGGAGGACTTGATGGGTATGGGTGGGTCGTGCACCGGAAAGGGTAGAGTAATCCACAAAACATTATAACTCGGTTCAATGATTTCCTGCAGACTGTGAAAGTAGAAAGAGTCTTAACGAAAAGGAGGTTAGCGTGCAGCGAGGTGAGCGAAGCTCGCGAGGAAGCGTTACAAAAATATGGATGGCCCTGTTTCACACCACTCTAGCTCCCTGTGATGCACGCGGGCGCGTGCGCAGCCGAACTGGTTAACTGATCCTACTAACTATAAAGCGCTTCGTCTGTCCGTGTCGTCTGTCGTCTGTCGTGTGTCGTGTGTCGTGTGTCGTCTGTCGTCTGTCGTGTGTCGTTCTGTATGTCTGTCACGAAATTCCCTAGCTCCTCGGGATCCACCTGGAGGGACCGGGTCAAGTGTGGGATGGGTGGGCAGGGTCTCACGTAATACAAAACACACATCAGCTAAGCGGAGCCCCGCCCACAGAGGGCGTGGCGTGCGTCGAAATGAATTGTACCGAAGACCAAGATTTCGATTTCAGTGACAAAACGACCTCGAAACTGGGCCAAAAAGTGGGTAAGGTGTGCATTGGTAAGTCACATCGAATTAGGGAGACCCACCCCCGGTGGGCGGGGCGTTCTCAAAAAAGCAGTGCTTTATGAAAAATTTCATAACTCGGTTGGGAGAAAGCCTACAGAGCAGAAAACAATTTGGTGTAAGGGAGCAATGTCTAAGGTGTTTCCTGCATACATGACGTGGGCGGAGGCCCGCCCAGAATGGGCGGGGCGCGCTCTGAAGTGTACAGCATTTTCTACAAGCCCTCATAATTCGGGTCGCAGCAAGTTTCGCTTATCCACTCTATTCACAGCAATTTTGAGTTGGATTCCATGACTTCTGAAGTAGCCACAGGACTTCATCGGGGTGAAGGTAATTATCGCGAAATCGAACACTTTGTCATACCGTCATCTTCATCCCACAGCTTCACTTTGACACCAACTGCTGGTCTTTCTCCACAAAGAAGCTGACCGCGTACGGCGACGGATTGTTGTCGCATGGAGAAGCAAGAACCAATCAAGGCGAATATAAATAGCCAAAACATATGCGACCTTTGCAGTATCTGAAAATGTTCTCCCCGTCACTACCAGTAATATAATAAGTCAATCAATAGGAGTCGTTCAATAAAAGCGTCCTTCCCTAAAGCAATTTGAGCATAATCTATTACACAAAGCTTAGGATCACAATCCAGAGAGAACTTCGAACACGGATGAAATCCAATGTTAACTAGAGACAGCAATTCACTGTTCAATAAGAGACATTATTTACTACTACTTTCGAACCTAGATCAAAATTTTGGCGCTGGCGCCAATTGGTGCCTATTCTATGCTACGGTCTGCACCCTAGTATTGGTTTGGTCACGATCAGGACTACGCCTTTGAGGATAGGACGGCTATTTTTCGCCTGCGTAATTTTATCGCCCCGGCGTCCCACTTCCTTAATAAGCTCAGCATCAGGCACTATAAGGGAGAGCGCCCTGGTCGGAAATATGCGTTAGATAGCGCCAATTTCAGACACGAATTCCATACTCGTAATCAGGATACCAAACAAGCCCAGTACACAAGTACACACCGAAATTGGTGAGAGCAGCTGTCGTGACGAAGTGGCCCTAACTGGCGCAAAATGGCGCCTGCGTCACGAATGAATATGAATGAATGAATGTGTATTGGTAGTCAGGGCATCAAATTACTTTTCTCGACCCGACGAAAATCAAAATTTTGGAATTTTGGAGCAGTGATAGTGGTAGATAGTGCCGGAAAGTTAGATATTGGGATGCAACTACATGGGAAAATTGCAAATCATCTACTTTCCCTCAATTATGGAGACCCATATTATTAGGTTGGAAAGAAAGTTCTGCGACACTCTTTCTAAAATTTTCTTTTTTTTTCTGAAAAATTCATAGGTAACATTTATGACTAACAAATGGTAGAGCATTCTCGAGGCTTCAATCCACGAGGTGGATATAAGTGCTGCAGTCAGTAGTTATCCAAGAAAATTCAAAAAACCTCGACCACTAGCAAATCCGTACTCCGAGTCACTGTCTAGTACAAATGTCTCCAAACTATGGATTCGTGTCAACGACTGACACTATCTGCAATAGCTTCTATAGGCATGCCGTTCACCGCTACAGCGTGTTTCACCTTTACCAGCGCTTTCGATCTTTTGATATTTTTATAAGAAGCCAGCAGCGTCCCATACACTCCATTGCAGGTAGGGCTCTTACGAAAACCTCAACTACATGATTGTTCTTCATGGGCACCATTGTATAGGTAGAGGGGAAAGAGGGGACCATGCTGTCGAACTTCAGAAGCTGGTCGAGGCAGCTCGTCAGGAGCCCTCGTACCGCGACAATATTCATTTCTTTCATGACATTGCGAATCACCATGATCCGAAATGAGCCCGGTAAGAAATTCTGGAGCTGCGGCAAGATTTCTTACCTCTCTGAGCGTATTCCCCTGGTCGAGCTATAAATGACTGCCACCTACCCTGGACCTTAAATCATCATCTTGATGACGAAATAATTAGACGATCAACTCCAACTCGAAAGTCGCGCCTCCTTCTTGACCCGCACTCCGCTGGGTTTTGGCGAAGGAGCATCAAGAAATTTTCTGAGCGTTGGAGACAAGTGGTGGACACTCATGGTAGATATAAGACCGGTCAGGAGTTGTAACCAAAAAAGATAAAATTAAAATCAAAAATTTGAAAAAGTGTTGCAGGACTTTCTTTCCAACCTAATACTATCGAAAGATTAGGATTGGAGGAAATAAGAGCTCGTGGATGACACCGTATGTAAACAGTGCTGTCTGAAAACCTCGCCACGTTCCTAACGCAAACGAAGCTAGACTCTATGACAGCTTATTCCGATGAAACAAAGCACAATGCAAAGATAAACTGCCAGAAACTAACTCTGCCCTTGTTCCATCACATGTTTGATGCTATCTTATCTTCTGTGTGATAAAAAACCTATAGGTCTACTGAACTTGTTCGATGGATGAAAGTACATCTGCCAATCAACATGCATTTTGTCAATCATGTGTGTATGTGAGTTATGCTTTAGTCTTTAGAAAAAAGACAAAAGAAACCAGCAGCGTCCCATACACTCCATTGCCGGTAGGGCTCTTACGGAAAACTCAACTACAGATTCTTCTTTATGGGCACCATTGTGTAGCTAGAGGTCTAGGCTGCGGAACTCTAGAAGTTGGCCGGGAAGCAGTAGCTCGACAGGAGCCCTCGATCGCATCGCGACAATGAAACTATTTTCTTGGCCTTGACATTGCAAGAAGGCACCATAATCCGGAAATGAGCCATATTAAAGCAACAGTTCAGGGAGGGTCCGAAAATTTCAATGCCACTACTACTGAGGGATACACGAGCCCTAGTGAAGAACATATGCAGTGGAAATAATAAACGAACTTACCTCAGAAACTCAAAAACAGGGTGGGAAAGTCCCTCAAACATGGGTGTTCTTGGGGATTTCCCCAATCCCGCCCCCTTGCCGGCCGTCATTGGACGCGTCGGCAATCGTGCTCGTTTTGGGACCACAGGGAAAATTGATTGAAAAATGGAGCGCGTTTACAGCGGGCACGTTCAGACAACTCGTCCAACGTGCGTCTTTATCCATTGCTGAGCGGCAGAGGGAGAGTACCTGTCTAAGACCCTCCCCGACGTTTTTTTCCAGTTTTTCATACATTAATCGTCTGGTTTTCATCTACAACTTCATTATTGGTGGTTTTTTCCCGCGAAACCGTTCCTGAACTGTTGCTTTAAGAAATTCTGTGACAAAGTGGCTGCGGCAAGATTTCTTACCTCTCTTAGCGTATTCCCCTGGTCGAGCTATAAATGACTGCCACCTATCCTGGACCTTAAATCATCATCTTGATGACGAAATAATTAGACGATCAACTCCAACTCGAAAGTGAGGGTCGCCTCCTTTCTCGACCCGCACTCCGCTGGGTTTTGGCGAAGGAGCATCAAGAAATTTTCTGAGCGTTGAGACAAGTGGTGGACACTCATGGTAGATATAAGACCGGTCAGGAGTTGTAACCAAGAAAAGATAAATTACTTAAAAATCAAAAATCGGGAGAAAGTGTCGCAGGACATTTCGTTCAACTAAGTACTATCAAAAGATTCGGATTGAGGAACAAGAATTCGTGGATGACACCGTATGTAATGTGCTGTGTGGAAATCGCTCGCCATGGTCTACGCAACGCGATAGAGCACTATGTAGTTATTCCGATGAAACAAAAGCACAAAGCAAAGATAAACTGCCAGAAACTAACTCTGCCCTTGTTCCATCACATGTTTGATGCTATCTTATCTTCTGGTGATGAAAAACCTATAGGTCTTCTGAACTTGTTCGATGGATGAAAGTACATCTGCAATGAACATGCATGTTTTGTCAATCATGTCGTGTGTGTGAAGCTAGTGCTTTAGTTCTCAGGGAAAAGACGGAGGGATCTGCGAACAAATGAGCGGTACCAACTTTTGGGCTATTGAACACTTGGCTGGTCTCTGCGAAATTCAGCTCCTCTGCTTGGTATCGAGCTCAATTGCAAAGATAAAGCAATGCTGAATGTTTTTTTTTTTCTTTTATCGTTTTTCTTGGTCAGAAAAGCTCCCTTAAAATCAACGTTTAGCACAGAGTTTTACTAGAGTGATGTCCTATTATTGAAGAGGGATCCCAAGATAAGATCGGGGCGTAATAAAGGGTTTAAGTTATTAAAGGGAGCGAGAGCCGGCTTCCTAGTGTGGCGGGACGATTGCGCGCTCCGCAACAAAGTTACTAGTAGCCGGCCTAACAGGGCTCTGAGTGCGACCGCTCTTTGACGCTTGAGGCTGCCTTGCGACCTTGGCCCCTCTCGCTCGTCGGGCTGGGCGTCGCGATTGCCAGCGTTGCAGAAGATACGGCCAGAGGGCTGAGCGGTTCATGTTTGTGACGTCGGGGCCACGAGGGAGAACCCAACATTGCCTAAAAGCGGAATGCGTTTATGATAAGAAAGATATTCGTCTCTTCTTTTTACCCCCCCAACCACTACCTCGATTTTTAATGAGATGCCTTTTCGTAACTCTTCCTTCAACACAGCTGCTGATTCAAAGCAGCTGCTTGGAGGAACGAAATACGCCGACGACAACAAATGAAAAGGACGAGAAGGAGCAACAAGGCAAGTATTTGAAAGTACTTTGAATGGTTCAGCACAGAAGGGGTTTCATTTCAGAAGTGTATCAATAGATGTAAGTGCGGCTGGGGCCAGTTTGTTCGTTGTTTGTTTCGTCTTTGAAAAATATATTCAATGAAAATTCATCTAATTGCACTTCCATCTAAAATGATTTCTTTGAAGAAGCTGCACAATTGTGTTTGTGTCAGTTGTTGTGTCGTTGGAGATAGGTAGGGTGAAACAATCATCAGATCGATCTTACGGTCTTGTCTTCACGTTGTTTTCTGAGGCCTAAACGCGGTTCAGATTTGAGATCCAGGCAAGCGCCTATATTTTCGCCGAATTCCATCATAATCCTCACCGAGAAATAATTTAATTAGATGAATTGTGAAACTCATCCAGGGTTCACCGTTTGTGCTAGAACCCCTACGCGAAGCCTCTGTTTATTGCACGCTGGACGTGGCTGTGTATACGCGCAATAGAAGAGAGGCTAATATCGGCGATACTTGCTTAGAGAATGGTTTCCAATTTTCCAATTTTCCCGCGATCATTTCCTTCTCGTGTGCCAAGATGGTACATATTTTTCAACTTCTACGGCACTGCGCTTTTCAAAAGTTACGAGTTCCAAGCGCTGTTGAATGGTGGGATGTGAATTACCACGTCATATTGAACTGTGGGGATCTGATATATCTGTTGTTTTATTTAAATGTACAGAAAGCAACTGTTGTTAAGCCCATGTAGGTGGAGGTCCCAGGATCAGAAATAAATCTTCACTTGTCCTCTCTTGTATTAAAAAACTAGTACAAAAGTTTTTTATTACATAAGTTGGATAGACATGGAAAAAAAATCTGCATTCATTGTACAGAGGCGCAATTATGATTTCAAACGT